GTGTTTAATGCATCAGATCTGTTCTTCAGATGATCTCTAAATTCAGGTGGGATAAATTCAGCTCTTTGAGCTGTACAGCCTTGGAAACCCTCTGTGGCAGTTCTACTCTACCCTGGACGCTGCTATGAAATGGAGTGGACTCAATGGCAGTGGAGTTCTCACTGCTTGTCTCCCCCTTGGGAGTATTCTCGGTTTCCTCCTCTCCACCACCACTGCCCACCCCCCCACCATCTGTCGGTGTGTTGACCTGTGATGCTGGAAGCTATGCCACCGGTAGTTCAAATACCAGCAGGGTCACTCATGCTGGACAGGTTTCAGTGGGGCTTTCAAATGAAGACAGACTAGGAAGAAAGGCCTGGCAAGCAGCTTCCCAAAAAAATAAACCCATGAAAACCCTGGAGCTCACCCCAGAATGTTGTCCAATAGCGTGCCTGCCAGAAGATTGCCCCCCTTAGGGTGGAGGAAGGCACTTAAACTGTACAGTGGCCGCCACAGTGGACTCAAGTGTGTCAAGGATGGTGACGATGGCACTGAAGCGGATATCTGTTCCGTTCTGTTGTATCTGAAGTCACCAGGAACTGGAGTGAGTCCATAGTAACCAGCAACATTAGAGCCCTCGGACTGCCATCCCAGATATACCACAAACTGGGTAACTTCTAAACCCAAACCAGTTACCATTGACTCGGTTCCCACTCACAGCAACCTAGAGACCAGAGTCAAACTGCCCCATAGGGTTTCCAAGTCTCTCATCTTTACAGAAGCTGACTGCCACATTTTTCTTCCTCTGAGTGGGTTTCAACTGCTGACCTCTCAGTTAGCAGCTGAGCTCTTTAACCTCTGGGCCCCCAGAGTCCCTTTGGATAATGACTTTGGTTGTTAGGGGCCGTGACTCATAACCACATTCTGCACAAGAGAACAAAGCCCTGCCTGGTCCTGGGCCATCCTCACAACTGTTGTTACATTTGAGTTCACTGTTGTTCCCATCCCCCTCATTGGGGGCATGTTCCTTTTTTTATGCTGACCCTCCACTTTGTCAAGCATGATGTCCTTCTCCAGGGAATGATTCCCTCCTTATAATATGTTCAAAGTTTGAGAAATAAAGACTGGCCATCCTGGATTCGAAAGACCATTCTGGCTGCACTTCTTCAAGAAAGATGTGTTTGCTCTTCTGGCAGCCTATGGTACTTTCAATCTTCTTCTCCAACACCATAAATCAGATGCATCGATTCTTCTACAGTCTTCCTCAGTCAGTGTCCAACTTGCATATGCATATGAGGCTACTGAAAATACTATGGCTTGGGTCAGTCAGACTTTGTAGACCTCAAACTGGTCATCTTTGTTCTTGAACATTTTACAGAGGTGCAGCAGATTTGCCTAATGTGGGTGACTTATGAGAACCTAAGTCTATATTTCTTAGTTCTGTAGTTGGGAAGCGTATATAGGACATTCCATAGAGCCAAAGTTGTGGATTAACCCAGACCCACTGCTGTTGAGTAGATTCTAACTCATCCTGACCCTGTAGGGTAGTGGAGAACAGCCCCATCAGATTTTGGGGACTAAATATTTATGGGAGCAGATAGCTTAATTTTTCTCTCAAAGATTGGCTGGTGAGTTTGAACCACTGACCTTTCGGTCAGTAACAGAATGCTTAAACCACCGAGCTGCCAGGTCTCCTTTACATAGTAAACCCCACTACTTTTGAGTTGATTCCAACTCACTATCACATAGAGTTTCTGAGGCTGTAAATTTCTGTAGGAGTGGAGAGCCTTGACTTTCTCCCAAAGAGCAGCTAGTAGGTTTTACTTCAGCAAGGTCTTTGCCAGACACAGTTAATCCAGCTCAGTGGCCCTGTAGGATCAGCACTGGACTGCTAATTGCAAGGGCAGTAGTTCAAACCCACCAGCAACACTCCTCAGAAACCCTATGTTGTTGTTAAGTGCTGTCGAGTCAATTCCTACCCATAGCGACCCTGTACAGGGTTTCCGAGGCTGTAAATCTTTACGGGAGCAGAAAGCCTCATCTTTCTCCCATGGAACCGCTGGTAGTTTCGAACAGCTGACCCTGAGATTAGCAGCCCAATTCGTAACCATTACGCTATACAGGGTCTCTATGAGTCAGCACTGACTCAACAGTACTTAACAACAACAACTCTGCCCAATACAGCAGGCACAGTCTGACCTTTGCAACTACCTGGGAAGGGAGGTATTGCTGTGGTCCTCACTTCCAGATGTTGAAAGAGAGGCTCACAGAGGTGAGTCACTGGCTCAGGAAGGAGTTGATGAGTAGGTGGGAAATGGAGATAGGTAAGAGGAGGGAGAGGTTTGGGAATGACCCACCCTTCACATACCCCTTTCCCCAGAAAGCTGGACGCCTTCATCTATGACGCTGCTGTGCTCAACTACATGGCCCGAAAGGATGAGGGCTGCAAGCTGGTCACCATCGGCTCGGGCAAGGTCTTTGCCACCACGGGCTACGGCATCGCGCTGCATAAAGGCTCCCGCTGGAAGAGGCCCATCGACCTGGCGCTGCTGCAGTTCCTGGGGGATGGTGTGGCCAAGCACAGGCTTTCCTAGATGGGGGCGGGAGTGGGGATGTGGGGGTCTGGGAGGTGGCAAGAGCCCTGGGTCTTGAAGGAGATGAGGGGTTCCTGCATGAAAGAGGAGGGTCCTCGGAGGTAACCCTAGCAGGTGACCTCGGTCCCCACCTCCCCAGATGAAATTGAGATGCTGGAGCGGCTGTGGCTCTCCGGGATCTGCCACAACGACAAGATTGAGGTGATGAGCAGCAAGCTGGACATCGACAACATGGCGGGCGTCTTCTACATGCTGCTGGTGGCCATGGGGCTTTCGCTGCTGGTCTTCGCCTGGGAACACCTGGTCTATTGGCGCCTGCGCCACTGCCTCGGGCCCACCCACCGCATGGACTTCCTGCTGGCCTTCTCCAGGGTATGGGGCAAGGGATGGGGAGACTAGAAATGGGACAATTGGCGAGGGAGCCAGAGAGAGGAAGGGGGAGAGGCAGGAAGATATGGTTAGAATTGGGGGGACGCAGGCAAAGCGGGGATGTGAGTGCAGATGGGGGTCGGGGAAATGCAGGTAGCAACCGAGAGAAGGGGGAGATGCAGAGATGGAGTGGGGACTTGGACGGGGAAGAGGTCAGATGAGGGCACCCTGTACTCACCGTCCTTCCGGGTCTCCGCAGGGCATGTACAGCTGCTGCAGCGCTGAGGCCGCCCCGCCGCCAGCCAAACCCCCACCCCCACCGCAACCGCTGCCCAGCCCGGCGTACCCCGCAGCCCGGCCACCCGGACCCGCGCCCTTCGTGCCCCGTGAGCGTGCAGCTGTGGACCGCTGGCGCCGTGCCAAGGGCCCGGGACCCCCGGGAGGCGCGAGCCTAGCCGACGGCTTTCACCGCTACTACGGCCCCATAGAGCCGCAGGGTCTGGGCCTAGGGGAGACACGCGCGGCGCCCCGGGGGGCTGCAGGCCGCCCACTGTCCCCACCGGCTGCGCAGCCCCCTCAGAAGCCACCGCCCTCCTACTTTGCCATCGTGCGAGACAAAGAACCGCCCGAGCCCGCCGCCGGCGCTTTCCGGGGCTTCCCTTCACCGCCCGTGCCGCCCGCTGCCTCCGCCGCTGTCGGGCCGCCACTGTGCCGCCTGGCCTTCGAAGATGAGAGTCCGCCGGCGCCCACGCGCTGGCCGCGCTCGGACCCCGAAAGCCAGCCGTTGCTGGGTCCCAGCACGGGTGGCACAGGGGGTACGGGCGGGGGACCCCCGGCGGCGCCACCACCCTGCCGCGCTGCACCACCACCCTGCCCGTACCTCGACCTTGAGCCATCGCCGTCGGACTCTGAGGACTCGGAGAGCCTGGGCGGTGCGTCGCTGGGCGGTCTGGAGCCCTGGTGGTTCGCCGACTTCCCTTATCCATACGCGGAGCGCCTGGGCCCACCGCCGGGCCGCTACTGGTCGGTCGACAAGCTCGGGGGCTGGCGTGCTGGCAGCTGGGACTACCTGCCCCCGCGCAGCGGCCCAGCCGCCTGGCACTGTCGCCACTGCGCAAGTCTGGAGCTGCTGCCGCCGCCTCGTCATCTCAGCTGCTCGCACGATGGCCTGGACGGGGGCTGGTGGGCACCCCCACCCCCACCCTGGGCTGCTGGGCCACCGCCCCGGCGTCGAGCCCGCTGTGGGTGTCCGCGGCCACACCCTCACCGCCCGCGGGCCTCGCACCGGGCGCCCGCCGCCCCAGCCGCTGCCCCGCATCACCACCGGCACCGGCATCGGCACACCGCCCCGGGCTGGGACATCCCACCACCCGCGCCCACCTCGCGCTCGCTTGAGGACCTCAGCTCGTGCCCCCGCGCCGCCCCCGCGCGCCGGCTCACTGGGCCCTCGCGCCACGCACGCCGGTGCCCACACGCCGCGCACTGGGGGCCGCCCACTGCGCCCCACCGGAGACACCGGGGCGGGGAGTTGGGCACCCGCCGGGGCTCAGCACACTTCTCCAGTCTGGAGTCCGAGGTATGACGCGGCCCTGGGCCCCCAGTTCCCCCTCGGTCAGCGCAGGCCACGGCCCGAGGGGGCGCACGGTGTGGATGGGACCCGCGTGGGGTTGGCAAGGGAAGATACAGAAGTGGCCGGACCCCGCCTGGAGCCACGCCCTGAGCGCCCTCGTTTTGGGTGAACCAGGAGTCGGAGTGGGGACTTTGCCTCCCAACTCACCCAGCTGAAAGCGAGGGGGCAGTGGTATCAGACCACCGGACTTTTTTAAAACCCGACAAGGGCTTTTTAACTTCACCAGTGGGGGTGGGAGGTGGGGAATGGTCACTCCATGCCCGCGCCCCACCCCAACGCCCGGGGCCGCGGCCCCCACATCACTGTGCAGCTCCCCGGCCCCAGCTACGCCTCCGGGGAAGCCCGTTTTTAACCTTTCATCCATCGGGACTCAAAACTGTGAGACGCGTTCGCCAAACTGTGACCCCAGACCTTGGCCCCGCCACACGGAAGCCCCTGACCCCAGACTGTGACTTCCGACCCCTGAAATGGTCATCCGACCCTAGACTGTGACCCCTGGCCCCAAACTGTGACCCGACCCCCAGACTGTGCCCTGACTAGACTGGGACCCTTGACGCCAAACCTTGACTCTCCCTGCCCTCCGTTCTCCCCTCAATTGCTCTCCCGTACTGTGACCTAGGACGCCCTCCCAACGGAAGCCTCGCCTTCTCTCCCCACACCCACTGGGACTCCACACTTCCTTAGGCCCAAACTTCCCACCCAGTCTTACCGCCATATCAGCCCCACGTGCCCCCAACCACATCTGCTCTAAATCCAACCTGTATTCGCCACCCTGCAGTAATGACTCACCAGACCCCCAAAGCCTCCTCTGTCTGGGTCCCCAGCCGGGTCTGGGGCTGGGCGGTAGAGGAGAGGGTCTGGAGTTCACACTTGACCACCAACCTCCCTTCCCACAATCCTGTTCCACATTTCAGTGTTTGGAATAAATGATGTTTTTAACGCCTCCTGAGTCCGAGCGTGAGCTCCGTGTCTGTGTCTTAGCCCCCTCCTCAAATTTTCTGGAGGAAACAGAAACTGAAAAGTCCCACCAAGGAAGAGATCACAGGAAAAGACAAGGGGTGGGGAGGGGGAGGAGGGTCAGAGACGCAGAAAGACAGAGACCCACAGAGAGGGAGACAGACCCACAGAAAGGGGGCCAGAGACCCAGAGGTATGGTAAGGATACCAAGTATCCATGGGCAATCTCAATTTGCTCTCCCACCTCTTAAGGGAGATCGATTGATTCACTGTGAAGCCTGATCTTGCATCCCCTTAGACTTGCACCTGGGGGCAAGTGTCCTCTCTCATCTCCCCTTGATGTTGCTCTATTGAGACTCAGAGAGAGAGGGATGAGAGAGATCTTGGATACAAGACATTTTATGATCAAATCAAGAGTTCCATTTTTAGGGGTACAGGCAACAAGGATTGCTAGATTCCTAATACCCTGTACATACAAGCCAGGAAATAGGCTCTTATAAATCCCAGCCAATCCCACACATCTTGAATGCCATTATTCTCACCAATGAGAACCTATTACTAAGACTTCATTATGCCAATTAGCCAACTCCTGGTGCTGATGGGTGGTAAAGAGAGCTTAGCACTTGTAATAGCGGCTTCCAGTGGGGTGAACGCTCTGATTAAGTGCGCCCCCTGGTGGCACAGTAAGTAAGTAGCTGGGCTGTGAGACAAAAGATTAGCGGTTCCAACTCATCTACCGCCCTGCTGGAAAAAGATGTGGCAGCCTGCGTTCTTAAAGATTACAGTCCAGGGCAGTTGTACCTTGTCCTATAGGGTCACTGTGTTGTTGCTCTTGTTTAATGCCGTCGAGTCGGTTATGACTCATAGCGACCCTGTACAGGGTTTCTGAGGAGCGACTGGTGAGTCCAAACCAGTGACTCTGAGGTTCCAACGGACCCTGAGGTCGAGTCTTTATCCTACGGCGCCACACCAGGACTCTATAAAGTCGCTATGAGTCGGAATTCATTCGTTAGCAATGGGTTTGCTTTGGTTTGGGCCATAGTTACAGTATGCACACCTGGCTTGCCAAGTGACTACCATAGGGGATAGATTCCACAAACTTTGTGGAATCTTGTCTAAAAAGCCCTGATAACGCTGTGGAATAAGCACTAGCTGCTAACTGCAAGGTAAGCAGTTCAAACCCACCAGCCGCTCAATGGAAGAAAGATGAGGCTGTCTCCATAACCTTGGGAACCCCACACAGAGTCACTATGAGTCAGAATCCGCTGATGGCAAAGGGGGTTTATCACATCTACCTTGTAATCTATTGAAATCAATTAAAGCTAACATAACAGGGAGGGGGAGACGAAACGAAACGGTCTTTATGAGTCCTGGTCTTCAAGTCAGTAAGAGCACATATTTGCATCTCATGAATAATTAACAAGGTAGAAAGAACGCTTTGGAGATCAAAGGTGGAAGAAGCTGTCAGATCTCAGAGCGCCTCCAGGAAGTAATGAAACTGACCTAAAAACTACAATTCCCAGGAGGCCACGCCACTGTGATGTTACCGAGCGCTGCAAAATCTTACGGGAGTTGTAGTTTCTCCATGTAAGCCCTTTTCGCTTGCTCCGAACGCGGTCACCTTCGTTTTCCTTATCCCCCTCCCCCATCACCCTTATCTAGGCGAAGTTGGGACGTTTCCAAGGTAACAGCGCAGCGCGGCGGACTCCCACTCGGAAGTGACGCTCTTATTTAGCGTCGGCCGTTAGCGGGTTCGAAGATGGCGTCGCGTAAGGCTAGGCGGCGCACGTGTGAAAGCGGGGAACCTATGGAGGCCGATTCTGGTGACAACGGGTCCAAAGGCCCAGCCCAGGTTTATCTGCCCGGTCGGGGGCCACCGCTGCGTGAGGGAGAAGAGCTGGTTATGGACGAAGAAGCCTACGTGTTGTACCACCGAGCGCAGACCGGTAGGGCTGGGATCCCGGACTCCTGGGTCCTGAGGAATGCGGACACTGGAATGGCTGGCCCTAAGCCCTTAAGTTGCTCTCTGGACTTAAACGCTGGAGTCTAAGAGAGGATCATGCTTGGTAAAGTGGAGGGTCAGCAGAAAAGAGGAAGAATCCTAACGAGATAGGGTTGCCACAACGGTGCAAGCTGAATGGGTGTAAGGAGAGCACAGGATCCGGCAGTGTGTTCTGTTGTGCACCGTTCACTATGCGTCGGAACCAACTCCACGGCGCCTGACAACAACCACAATAGAGGGAGAAGGGTTTTGTGGTTCCCCGGCCCCAACTTAACCTCCCATATCCTCCATCCATCCCCAGGTGCCCCCTGTCTCAGCTTCGACATCGTCCGGGATCGCCTGGGAGACAACCGGACTGAGCTTCCCCTCTCCCTCTATCTGTGCGCTGGAACTCAGGCTGAGAGTGCCCAGAGCAACCGGTGAGTAAGGCTGGAGGCTCTCCCGGGAGCTGGAACCTCAGAGTCTCTCGATCCTCTTGCCTTAGACCCCATTTCCTTCAAGCCCCTAACACACCCCCAGCCCCAGTGCCTCACCTCGAGCTCTCTCCCAGACTGATGATCCTGAAGATGCACAATCTGCATGGGACGAAGCCCCCACCCTCAGAAGGCAGCGATGAAGAGGAGGAGGAAGAAGATGAAGAGGATGAAGAAGAGAAGAAGCCTCAGCTGGAGTTGGCCATGGTGCCCCACTATGGCGGCATCAACAGAGTCCGGGTACAGAGAGTCCCGTGAGCCTCCTTTATGTTCTCTGAACCCCTCCCCTGTGTCCCTGGTATCTCCTCTTAACTTTTGTGTAGGCTACTCATTAACACTGAGTTGATTTCAACTCATAGTGACGTTTACTTCTTCGCTTTTTATTATAAATTGAGTGAAAGCTTGCAGGGTTGTTGGTGTTGGGTGCTTCTGAATTGGTTCCAACTCATTATGAACTCTGTATAGGTTTTTCTAGGAGCAGCTGATGAGTTTGAACCACCGGCCTTGAGATTCAAACCCACCTAGTGTTTATCCTGGAGTCCTGGTGTGGCGCTGTGGGTTAATGCACCAGACTGCAAAGCCATTTGAACTGCAAGGTCGGTGGTTCAAGCTCATCATCTGCTCCTTGGAATCCCCTCTAGAGGGTCGCTGTGGGTCAGAATCGACTCGACAGTACTTAACAGCAAGTGCTTATCCTACATTGCCACACCAGGACTCCGGGTTACAGGGTAGAGCATCAGTTTGACATTCAGCAAGTCATATATTTGGTTTATTATCCGTGATTCCAGTCCCATCCATGCACCTTCGGTTATTGTACTTCTCATTGTGATTTTTGTGTCCAGTCCACCTTCGTTCCCCACCCTTTGATTTTGTCGTTAGGTAAATGCCTACGCTTTTGATCTTGAATGGTTGAGCAGTATTCGTGTGCACGTGTTGTTGTGTACATGTATTTTGTGGATTATATACAATCAGATGTATTGCTCATTACTGGTGATTGGAATGCAAAGGTTGGGAGCAAAGAGGAAGGACCAGTAGTTGGAAAATATGGCCTTGGTGATAGAAATGATGCTGGAGAACACATGATAGAATTCTGCAAAACCAGTGATTTGTTTATTTCAAATACCTTCTTTAGACAGCATAACAGACGACTATACACATGGACCTCGCCAGATGGAACACAGAGAGAATGAATGACTCAAACAAATGACAAACAAACTTTAAGCATGTTGTTGTTGTTGTTAGGTGCCATTGAGTCGGCACCAACTCATAGTGACCCTATGCACAGCAGAACGAAACACTGCCTGGTCCTGGGCCAACCTCACTATTGTTGCCAAGCTTGAGCCCATCAATGCTGCCATTTGGCCAGTCCATCTTGTTGGGGGTCTTCCTCTTTTTCTCTGACCCTCCACCTTACCAACATGATATCCTTCTCCAGTGACTGGTCCCTCTTGACAATATGTCTGAAGTATGAGAGATGAAGTCTGGCCATGCTGGCCTCCAAGGAGCACTCTGGCTGTACTTCTTCCAACACGGATCTGTTGGTTCTTTTGGCAGCCCATGGCACTTTCAATATTCTCCTCCAACACCATAACTCAAAAGCATCAATTCTTCTACGATCTTCCTTATTCACTGTCCAGCTTTCACATGCATATGAGGTTATGGAAAATACCATGGCTTAGGTTAGACTCACCTTAGTCCTCAAGCTGACGTCTTTGTTCTTCAACACTTTAAAAAGGTCTTGTGCAGCAGATTTGCCTAATGCAATATGTTGTTTGATTTCTTGACTGCTGCTTCCATGAGTGTTGATAGTTGATCCAAGAAGAATGAAGTCCTTGATTGTTGTTAAGTGCTGTGGAATCGGTTCCGACTCAGCGATCCTGTACCGGTTTCCGAGGCTATAAATCTTTACGGGAGCAGAAAGCCTCATCTTTCTCCCACGGAACAGCTGGTAGTTTCGAACTGCTGACCTTGCGGTTCACAGCCCGATTTGTAACCACTACGCTACCAGATCTCCTTTGCTTGAGCTAAAATTGTCTTTTTATCTTTAGGTAGTGTGGGATTGTCTTATTTGTGAAAACAAGTTCTGTAGTTGTTGGATTCAGAGAGGAGAAATCTTGGGGGTGCTCTTGCAGTTCTAGGAATCCATGAGGTTTTTGTGGAAGGGGTGTGATAGCCTAGTCCCTGGCCCTAGATGGAGTTCCTATTGGCCTTGGTGTTATCTATGTTCAGGCCACTCAATCCAGAAGTAGTTTGTGGGGGCCCTTGATAGAGCGGGTGTCAGTGTCTGTTAGGATCACAGGGAACCTGAGGGCAGGGTGACTGGTTAAAAGCTGGTCTGGGTGGCTCTGTCAGTCTGAAGCTGAGCCTGCCTGAATCCAGTCACCAGTGCGACACAGTGGCTACCAGCCACTGCTCCGAACTCCCAGAGAGCAAGGTCTGTGCTGGGGGTGGATGAGGGTAGAAGCTGGCCTCACTTCTGGTCACCAGGGAAGCTGGGGAAAAAGAAGAAATCGCACCTTTTCTGTCTGTCACCCAAGTAATTCTGCTCTGCCAGGTCTCCCTTCACTGCCCAAGCTGCTCACACGATGATCGAGCTTCGTCTGGCCCTCAATTCGCCAGTCTCCCCATTTCATTATTCCTGCTCAGCCTCGCCTCCCAGCAACCATTCCACCCACCTTTCTGACCTGTCTAAGGAAGTTCTGCGTTCCAGAGTTCCCTTCTGTATCTTTTATTTGTATTTCTCAGATCTTTGCTTAGAGGGTCCATGTACACGTCTGCCCAGGCTGCCATCTTGCCCCAAGTCTCTGTGGACTTGCTTCTTTAAGTAGCATGGTTAGGGAAGTGTCCACTAATCAGAAGTGAGGGATTAAGCCAAGGAATGGAAAGAGGTCCACAGGCAAGAGGGAACCTGAGGACAAAGGCCCTGGAGAGAGCCTGGGGTGTTTGTGAAGGAGACGGGGGAGAGTGATAAGCTTTGGGGACACAGAGGAGGCTAGGGTGTTCAGTCCTGGTTGGCTGTCGTAGGAATGTGGACTTTGTCTTCTGGTGGGATGGGAGCTACTGGAAGGTTCCAAGCCGACCTAGCTTTTGTTTTATTGTGATTCGATTGCCTTGAGGTAAGGGTGGAAGGGGACAGTCCGCAGGGATTCAGGAGCTGTGTTAGTAGCGACATGCAGGACACAGGTCCCTGGATGGCGTGAACTGTATGCACTGTTCTGCTAACTTAATGGTTCCCATTTCGAATCCACGTGGTAGCACCACGAAAGAAAGACCTGGCTATCTCTTTCCATAATGATCATTGTTCGTTGTCTGCAAGCAGCTCCTAAATCATGGCGACCCCACGTTTGCAGAGTAGAACTGCTCCGTAGGGTTTTAGAGGCTGTGACCTTCTGGAAGCAGAATCAGCAGGCCTGCCTTCCAAGGCAACTGCATCCGGGTGGGTTCAAACTGCCAACTTTTTGTCCAGTACTCAAGTGCTTAACCATTTGTGCCACCCAGCTACCCTGTGTATGAAGCTTCCCTGCAGCCATAAAGACCCAAGGGAGCATAGTTCTCTGTAACACCTGAGGCTGCTACATGTTGTGTGGGTGGGGGCAATCGAGGAAGTGAGAAGGGTTTGGAAGTAAGGCGCCTTTTGACCATCACTGGCCTGGAGGTGGGGTGTGAGGGGAACAGATGAGTCCAGAATGAGCCTTGGCAGTTTGGGGCCCAAGATGGAGACGGGGAAGCTGAAGCGGAAGCTGGAAATCCCTGGCTTGCTTCTGGTCTTGTTCGGTTTGAATGAGAAGTCGCTGGGTGGCGCAAAGGGTGAAGCACTTGATTGTTAGCAAACACGTTGACCATTTGAACCCACTCAGCGGCTCCTTGGAAACCAAGCTTGGTGATCTGCTTCCAGAAAATGTGTGGGCCAGTTCTCTGCACTCTGGGGTTGCCAGGAGTCACATGGGCTCTACTGCACAGGGCAGCAACGTTGGGAGGGTCAGTGCGGTTAGAGCCTGGTACTCAGCAGAGGCGATCCAGGCTCAGGGCAAGCTTGACTGGTCTCCCTGGGAGCAGACCTACAGAAGCGAAGAGATGCAAGGCTGGGCTGCTGGCCTGAGCCCCCATTTAGAGGATCTGGGGAAGTGAGCTGTGGTCCCAGGGCAGGGACACCCCAGTTCCCTAGTGAGCCTTACAGGTTGTGACTTGTTCCCCACAGAGGTTACTGGCGGCTCTGAGGAACCTCCTCTCCCAGTGTGCTCACCCCCTTGTTCCCCACAGGTGTCCTGGCTGGGTGAAGAGCCAGTGGCTGGGGTGTGGTCAGAGAAGGGCCAGGTGGAGGTGTTTGCTCTGCGGCGGCTGCTGCAGGTAGTGGATGACCCGCAGGCCCTGGCTACCTTCCTCCGGGACGAGCAGGCCCGAGTGAAGCCCATCTTTGCCTTTGCCGGCCACATGGGAGAGGGCTTTGCCCTTGACTGGTCTCCCCGGGTGCCAGGTGAGACCCTATAGCGTGCCTGGAGGTGGGGGAGCTATGGAGCCACGAGCTGGGGGACAAACTGGGCTTGTGGCTTCTCTCCGTAGGCCGCCTGCTGACAGGAGACTGCCAAAAAAATATCCACCTCTGGACACCCACGGACGGTGGCTCCTGGCATGTGGACCAGAGGCCATTTGTGGGCCACACAAGTTCTGTAGAGGACCTGCAGTGGTCACCGACCGAGGACACGGTGAGAGGACCACGGGGCTGGGGCTCTCAGGACTGCTGGGTCTGATGGAGGAGAGGCTCCTCTAGGGGCTGGGGGCACGGACAAACTTCCAGTGTGGTGCCTGACAACTAAAGAGAAGGTAGTCTCCATGAGTTCTTGGTCCTCGGGGTGGGGTGGGGCAGGAATACACCTGGGTCACTCAGCCCCCGGCAGGAATACACCTGGGTCACTCAGCCCCCGCCTTGCCCAGGTATTTGCCTCCTGCTCAGCCGATGCCTCCATCCGCATCTGGGACATCCGGGCAGCCCCGAGCAAGGCCTGCATGCTCACCACAGCTGCAGCCCACAACGGAGACGTCAACGTCATCAACTGGAGCCACCGGGAGCCCTTCCTCCTCAGCGGCGGGGATGACGGCGCCCTCAAGATCTGGGACCTGCGGCAGTTCAAGGTATGTTCTGAGCAGCCCCTTGGACACCGAGGCTCTTGGGCTGTTTTCTGGGTTTGTAAGTTTTTCCCTTCAGATGATTTCATCCCACCGGAGTTGCCCCCTTTATGATACAGATAAGGAGACTGCAACAGGGAGGGTTGTGGCTTCTTTGGGTCACCTGTACTGCCAGATGAGATAGAAAGAGGGTGACTACAACTCCCATCTGCCTCTGAGGCACAAGCTAGCTAAGTCTGTAGCCTCAAGAACCTCTGGGAATTGTAGTTTGGTTGTTTTTTTTATTTGTCACTGTAGAAAATTAGTTGGAATTATGACACATGTTGAGGTACGGAATGGACAGGAGCAGATGTGACCCTATTTCTAGGTGAACTGTAGAATCAGCATGAGGGGACTTAACGGGTGGGGTCCTGCTGCACCCTGAGGCTACAGGAGGGTCTGGGCGGCCCTGTCTGGAGCTGGGTGGGGGTGCTTCAAGCCTCCAGCCCCTGTCCTTTTCCATAGTCTGGGTCCCCAGTGGCCACCTTCAAGCAGCACGTGGCCCCCATCACCTCTGTGGAGTGGCACCCCCAGGACGGCGGAGTCTTTGCAGCGTCAGGGGCAGACAACCAGATCACGCAGTGGGACCTGGCTGTGGAGCGGGACCCGGCGGCCGGTGAGGCGGAGGTGGAGCCCGTGCTGGCGGAGCTCCCTCAACAGCTGCTGTTCGTGCACCAGGGCGAGACAGACCTCAAGGAGCTACACTGGCACCCGCAGTGCCCCGGGGTGCTGGTCAGCACCGCCCTATCGGGCTTCACTGTCTTCCGCACCATCAGCGTCTGAGGCCCCTGTCTGCCTGCCTTCCACTCGGGCACTAAAGCTGTTGTCATCTGCAGGGACCATTCATGTCTGGACCCTGCCGCACCCCACAAGGAAGGACTGTGCTCCGCGTCCTAAAGGACTTGGTGTGACCCATGACTTTCTATAGCCACTTGGTTTAGTCCAATAACTCATCATACCAAAATACTTGGTGTGACCAACAGCACCCTAAAACCATCTGGTTGCCAAGTGACACCTTGCCTCCCATTGAGCCCAGTTCAGCCCAGTGGGCTTTGCCTGTCAGAGGACTTGACTACTGCTTTTCCTGGTGGGTGTCACCTGGCTGACCCCTTTCTGGAAAACATGAACCCAATCTTGACCCCTGACCTCCCCAGGGGACTGGATGGGGCATTGCAGTAGCCTGCCCAAGTGTGAGGTATGGGTCGCTGGCTGAATTTGGCTTGGCCCCTGTGGCTGACTCCAGCTAGGTGTTCGTGTGAGGGGCTACTGTGGGGTGGGGTGGGGGAGGCCAGGGGCTCCGGAGGGGCAATAAAAGGCCCAAATGAGGCCTCAAGTGTGTGGTTCTGATTCCTCCCCACATCGTCTGAGGAGAGTGGGTGGACATCTGGCATGGAGCTGTCCTGGACCTACAGCCTGGGGACAGGCCTTGGGGTACCTACGTGCTCTACTCTGGATCTCAGGAGCTGGTACCCCCAGCTGGTACCCCCAGCTCCTCATCAGTCTTGTTGGGTGATGTTGAGTTGATCCCAGACGAGGATGGGTTTGAAGCAGCCCTGAGGGTCTCCAAGGCTGTCATCTGTACGGAAGTAGACTTCCCGCCTCAAGTTTCCTAGAGTGGCTGGTGGGCTCAAACCCACAACCTTTTCATTTGCAACCTTAGCCCAGTGCACCACAGAACTCCATTCGTCTCTTGTGCCCATTACTTCTGCCTCACATGTCTTGCATCTTGTCTCTTCTGTCCCCCACTGCCTGTCCCTGCCCCCCATTTCTGTGTCCCTGCCACTGTCTCCTTGCTGGCCTGCCTGGGCTGCAGCCCAGCGCCTAGCCTGGCTGGCCTCCCTGGCTCCCCCTCTGCGGCTCTGAGCTGGCCCCACCCCTTGTCCCCCTGTGTCCCTGCCTCGGATCCGCCTGTGAACACGGAGTTCAGGCATACAGCCCCTCAGCACCCACCGGCAGACCTCCCTCCACCCCTATGAAGGAGCCCCCAGCAGTGGGCATGGGGGTGGGTTACCCCACCAGGTATGTGCTGAACCCCGGCAGGTCCTGGGTTTGATCCCCTCCCACCTGCTCCTCACTCACCCTTCTAGCTGGAGACTCCCAACTTCCCCGGTCCTTGTCCCCACAGCAGACCCTGGTTGTGGCCCACAGTGACAGTTGCGGTCCTTTCTCACCTTCACCCACCCCCCACCCTGAGCCTTCTACGGAGCCCCCCATTGTTTTCTGTCTCTGCCCTCCACAACTCTTGCCTTCCCAGTCTGGGTCTCTGGGGCCAGGCCTTGGGGTACCTGCTCTACTCTGCATCTATGGAGCTGGTACCCCCAGCTTCTCATCAGTCTTGTTGGGTACCATTGGGTCGATCCCAGATCATGGTGGCTAGGATGTGCCCCTCCTCTCTCTGCATTTCTGTCCCCATCTCTCTGGGTGGGTCTCTGTCCCCCTCTCTCTGGGTGGGTCTCTGTCCCCCTCTCTCTCTGGGTCTCTGTCC